TGCTGCCACATACAATATAAATCTAAAGTGGACCTATCAACAGATATATTTTCTCATCTTACATGTATGCATGTTAAGAAATGTGTTTTGTAAAACTTCCAGGTAGTAATTGCCTCTTACAGAGAACCCAGGTCTCTCCCTGACCAAAGCCTTCATCTGATTTTTCTCTAGAAATTGGGAAAGTGGAAAGATTGATGATCCTATAAGGTTGTCCAGTTGGTGTTGCTATTCAATAGTATTGTCAAGATATTGGTGTATGTGATTTTAATACCTTCTACACCCAGAGGCGTAACTAGAGCCTTCAGGGCCCCAGTGCAAGAAATCATAAAGGCCCCCTTGACCCCCAGCTGGGGCCCTTCCCACTGATCTCAGAGCCCTTTACTCCGGTCTCTAGATCTTTTATTACAGTCCTGCAGTGGGACCCTTTCACATGTTCTGCAGTGGGTCCCCTTACTGCCGTCTTGGGGCTCCCCCATGGTGGTGGAACGCCAGCACCTGGTCACAAGTGTGACCTTTGCTGCCCAGGTAGCTCCGCCACTGGTGTCAGTAGTTTTTTATTTTTGTTATTTTACTATTTTATTATTTTTACCATTTTACTTTATGTACAGTATTTATTTATTTTTACAATTTTATTTTTTTATCAATTTTACCACTTTTTAAGAGCCCCATTAGGGGGCTTTGGTGAGATATCAGGGGTCTAAACAGACCTCTGATATTTCACCCACGAGCCAGAGAAAGGAGATTAAGGACACAGTCCTCGATCTCCATCTCTACAGCCTCAGTAGCACAGAATGAATAGACAAGAATAGCTCTGTACAGAGCTTCCCATTCATTTATAAACGGAAGCGTAGTAAACACAGTTTACTATGCCTCAGTTAAGAATGAACAGTCAGTGATCAGTACAGTTTACTGACTCTTTTCATTAAGACAACAAAGGGGCCAGTAAATTACACATTTACTGGCCCCTTAGCCGCTCTCCATCCTGACACATCCCTGTAGCAGGGGGAGGGGAGGGGGGAACACGACAGAGCTTCAGGGGATGAGAGGCAACTTGTATGTGTGTGTGTTAATTAAAAAAATAATTATATATATACAGTTTATTTAACATTAGAATTAATATCTCTTAGATTGTAAGCTCCCAGGATCAGGGCCCTCCTATCCCTCTTGTATTGAACTGTCTTGTTGCTGTATTGTCTCCCTTTATATAGTAAAGAACTGAGCAAACTATTGGCGCTATATAAATCCTGTATAATATTTATATATATATGTGTGTGTACTTGCGTGTGTGTGTGTGTTAATTTAAAATATATATATATATATATATATATAAATATATATATCTAATGTCCTAAATCAATCTAATGTCCTTTACAGCTCACCAGTCCTTAGATGTGGTGGCTGCATTAGTTTTTTTTTTTTCAGGCTTTGTTCGCTTTATTTTCACCTGCTGATCCTGGCAGTTCTAGGTTGACAACTCTTACTCAGTCTCCTCCACCCCATCACTTGGGGGGAGTTGTTTTCTTGGTCTACAAAGTTAAAGCTGCTTGAGATAACACTGCAGGGGAGACACAGGACACCACTATAGGATTTTAGGTATTTTTTTAGCACCCATCAACATATACAGTATAATAAAGCTCTTCGATTGTATATTTAAAGCGTAAGTGCAGGCAAAAGTAAAAACAGAAAAATCAGCACAAGGGACAAAACTTAAAGTCAGTAGGATGTGTCCCTTATGCTGATTCCTCTTCTTTCAATAGTATCCTCCTCTATTCTCCACCCCCTCCCCCAATCCCTACCAGCATAATCTTGTAATCTTCAGGAGCAGAAAAATCAGCACAAGGGACACAACGTAAAGTCAGTAGGATGTGTCCCTTATGCTGATTCCTCTTCTTTCAATAGTATCCTCCTCTGTTCTCCACCCTGTCCCCCAATCCCTTCCAGCATAATCTTGAAATCTTCAGGAGCAGAAAAATCAGAACAAGGAACATAACGTAAAGTTAGTAGGATGTGTCCCTTATGCTGATTCCTCTTCTTTCAATAGTATCCTCCTCTGTTCTCCACCCCGTAACCCAATCCCTACCAGCATAATCTTGTAATCTTCAGGAGCAGAAAAATCAGCACAAGGGACATAACGTAAAGTCAGTAGGATGTGTCCCTTATGCTGATTCCTCTTCTTTCAATAGTATCCTCCTCTGTTTTCCACCCCCTCCCACAATCCCTACCAGCATAATCTTGTAATCTTCAGGAGCAGAAAAATCAGCACAAGGGACATAACGTAAAGTCAGTAGGATGTGTCCCTTATGCTGACTCCTTTTCTTTCAATAGTATCCTCCACTGTTCTCTACCCCTTCCCCCAATCTCTACCACCGTAATCTTGTAATCTTCCAGAACAGAAAAATCAGCACAAGGGACATAACTTGAAGTCAGTAGCTTGTGTCCCTTGTGCTGATTCCTCTTCTTTTAGTAGTATTCCTCATCCACCCTGCCCCCACCTCAGCCACTGTACTCTTCTGGTGCAGTGGGGATTAATACAACTAAGGGGCTGTCACAGGCTTTCATCCAGAGACCCCAACTATGGCCACCTTTTTCCACCCACAACCACCATTCATAGAAGTCCAACAACAGCTTCTATGAATGAAATGGGATATCTGAGGAGAGGGGCGGAGCTATCAATCATCCGCAAATCCTCCATTCATAGATTGTGTTCCAATTACAGGAGCTGTAGTACGGCTTCTATGAATGGTGCATTTGGATAGAAAGGGCGGGCATAGTTGGGCTCTGTTTGTGAGAGCCCATGACAGCCCCTTAGCTGTATTAACCCCAACAGATGAACAGAACAGCAATGGGGATGGGGGGGTGGATGAGGATTACTACTAAAAGAAGCAGAATCAGCACAAGGGACGCAAGATGCTGACTGTAAGTTATGTCCTTTGTACTGCTTCTACTTTCGCCTGTACTTTAGCAGGCTTAACAGACTAAACAAAATGTATTGTTAGGGTTTACATACCCTTTAAACTTTTTTTTATTGTAGGTTGTTTTTTTTGGAGGGGGTTTTAGGTATGGTGCAATGGTCCCTTGTAACATTTCTAATAAATTCATTAGTGGACATTTTTTTTTAAATATGTGTCTGAAGTTCAGCTTTAAGAAGAAAAACCATAATAGGCTGGAGTTTGCCTGCCAAAAAATTACCTGCCAAAAAAAAAAGGGAGGGTCTTAGAAGAAGTAGTGCCAGTCAAGACACTCAGCTGCTTTCTGTTCGGGTTCAGAGCTCACATACAGAGGATACCATACAGAAGTCGCCTCGCAGAGATGAGAGTCTCCTACCGCCCAGATTGCAAAAGGCTGATGTTCCAACTCCTTGTGGCTTCCCTTCTTCATTTCCTCACAGGTAACGCTTTCCTCAGTTATATTTTTATTTGGCAGTTATATTTTAACTGTCGAGATTTTTTTTTTTTTTGGGGGGGGGGGGTATGTATGTTTTCATCCATTTCTGCCATGAATCACAATAGATCATACTTAGAGCATTAAGAAACAATGAAGAAATAACTATATTATTTAATTACTAATCAAAAGTGTGTTGTGTGTGTGTTAATTAAAAAAAATTATATATATATATACATATATATATATATATATATATATATATATATATATATATACACATACATACACAGTATATGTGTGTGTTAATTAAAAAAAATATATATATATAAATATATATATATATATATATATATATATATATATATATATATGTCTATGTCTTATTTATATAATATATATTTATTATATATTTATATGTGTGTTTGTGTTAATTAAAAAATATGTATTTATTTATTGATACAAAAATATTTTTTCAAATGTTTTTATATATATATATATATAATGTATATATATATATATATATATATATATATATATATATATATATATATATATAATTTTTTTTTTTTTTTTTACATTTATAAAACAAAATATTTATTAAAATATTATATGTGTGTGTGTTAAAAAAAAAAAAAATATATATATATATATATATGTATATATATATATATATATAAATATATAAAAATATTTGAAAAAATATTTTTGTATCAATAAATAAATACATATTTTTTAATTAACACACACACACACATATATATATAATAAATATATATTATATAAATAAATAGACATATATATATATATATTTTAATTAACACACACATATATACATATATATATACACACACACACACAGTTTATGTGTGTGTTAATGAATATATATATATATATATATATTTTTTTTTTTTTTTTTTTTTTTTTTTTAACACATAATATTTTAATAAATTTTTTTTTAGAAATTAAAAAAAAAAAAAAAAAATATATATATATATATATATATATATTTTACAAGCCTTTTAAATGTGTTAGATGTTGTTGCTGTGTGAGTATATATATATATTTATTATACTCCTCACCATCCACTTTATTAGGTACACCTTGCTAGTGCCAAGAAAATATCCCCCACACTATTACACCACCAGCCTGAACCATTGATACAAGGCAGGATGGATCCATGCTTTCATGTTTTTTACGCCAAATTCTGACCCTACCATCTGAATGTCGCAGCAACCAGTCTGCCCATTCTCCTCTAACATCAACAAGGCATTTTCCCTCACAGAACTGCCACTCACTGGATATTTTCTCTTTTTCGGACCATTCTCTGTAAACCCCAAAGATGGTAGATCCCAGTAGATCAGCAGTTTTTGAAATAGTCAGACCAGACCGTCTGGCACCATGTCATGTTCAAAGTCACTTAAATCCCCTTTCTTCCCCATTCTGATGCTCAGTTTGATGTTCAGCAACTTCCCCACATCTAGATGCCTAAATGCATTGAGTTGCTGCCATGTGATTGGCTGATTAGCAATTTGTGTTATTAAGCAAATGAACAGGTGGACCTAATAAAGTGGCCGATGATATAAATATTTATATAAATATTTAGCCGCTGATTTTATTTAACCACCTCCCGTCCAGGCCAATGTATATAAACGGCCAGACGGGGGCAGTGCAGGAGCGTGTTGCCGTACATAAACGGTGCCCGCCATTTTGGACTGTGAGCGCTCCCTGTGTGAGGTCCCAATCATGTGATCACTGATTGGCCAATCAGTGATCACATGAATAGTAGTAAGCAGGGGCGGACTGACCATTCGAGCCCTAGGGCACTGCCCGAGGGCCCGGGGTCAGTAGGAGGCCCCATGAAATGCCCCTGGTACCTTTCATAGGCTTTTTTGGGTGTGCTATGAGAGTGGGCAAGGACACAGGGGCCTCATGATCCCCTATTGCCCAGGGGCCCCATGAGTTGTCAGTCTGCCCCTGGTAGTAAGCAAGATGTCACTTCTGACATCATTGCTTACTACTAGTGAAATCTGTGAATGATCATCAAGATCACATGGTACATGGCTATTCACAACAGCCTTGTACCATGTGACAAGCTGTGATCAATCACAGCTCTCACAGTATTTCTCAATGGCTGCAAGAATGCAGCCAGAGAGAAGGAGAAATTATTCATTTTACAGCCTTTATGGGTGTAAAAGCAATCAGTGCTGAAAAAAAAAAAAAACTTCATCACCCCCCACAAGTGGTACAGTGTCACTGTACTGCTACGGTGACAGTATGTTAAAAAAACATAAATAATAATATAACAAAAAATAAAATAATTTTTTTTTTTTTAAATTATAATTTTTGTTTATAAACTAATTCGGGTTATTTTTTTTTTTTACTAAAAAGGTAACTGAATAAATTTTGGCCAAGATTTATGAAGAAAGATTATTTATTTGGAAAATTTTATAAGAAAAACACTATTTTCAAAATTTTTGGACTTTTTCATTTCTATAGCAAAAAAAAATAAAAATCACAGTGGTGAATAAATACCACCAAAATAAAGTTTTGTCTCAAAAAATGCTAAAAAAATTCATATGGGTACAGTGTTGCATTCAATTGTCATTCAAAGTGTGACAGCACTGAAAGCTGAAAATTGGCCTGGACAGGAAAGGTCCGGACTTGAAGTGGTTAAAGGCTGCTTACCAGCAACCATGGGGTCCAGCTGGACCCTTGGAGGAGTTTTGTCAGGAATGGACTAAGCACTGGTGGCGGGACTCACCTGCCGTGTGGGCTGCAGTACCAGGGTTGACCAGCGGGTGCTCTCAGCAGCCAGAAGCTCACTCCTGCAGTCAGCCAACACCTGGGGCTGATTGCAGGAGGTGTATTTAAGGAATGACCAGGCCTGTGATCAGTGCCTTGGTGTATGTTTCCCATGAGCCCCTGTACCTTGTATCCTGTGTTCCTGTTCCTCTGCCTATCTAATTTGTTGCCGACTCTGCATTGTTCCTGACCCTGCTGACTGTTTCCTGTTTAACCCCTGGCTTGCCTGACCATCCTTCTGCCTGATCCTCTGTACCGTGCTGCCCGTGAGTTACTGAACCCGGCTTGTGACCCTGACCATTCTCTGCCTGATCCTCTGTACCGCGCTCCCCGTGAGTTCCTGAACCCGGCCTGTGACCCTGACTATTCTCTGCCTGCTCCTCCGGTACCTCGCTGCCCGCACGTTGCTGACCTGGCCTGCCTGACTACGCCTTACGCTACCCAGACGATCCATCCATCCTGCACGGATCCAGCCATCCCTGCTCACACCTTCTGCCTCTTCACATCAGGCTTCCTACCTGCATATACCTCTGGCGGATCCCTCTACCACGAGCAGGTGTACCTCAGGGTTCCTGTCTGCTCCAAGTCCATCCCCACCATCAGGGGCCCTGGTGAATAAGCAGACTGGGACTTAGACTCCGCGCTCCGGGGGAATCCTGTCCTGAGGACTGCTAGGGGTATCACCAGACAGTCGTTAACAGAACCTTAGGGCCGGCCTGACCCTTCCACCTCCCCAGCCCTGACGGCGCCTGTGTTCCTGCACATACTAAGATTAGTGGAAGGTTGGTTTTATTTACTGAGCGTGTATAATTGGGTGGCTAATAATAAATTATATTATTATATCATTCCTGAAGCCTGTTACTTCCCTGTGTCAGTCCACACATTTCTGGTCATACCCGGATCCCTGACAAGTTTACTAAAGTTTGGAAAGGATAGGAGCGCCACATCAGCTTGTATTGTCCTTGAAAGATTTTATTTTCCAACACGTTTCAGGTGCTCAGCACCCCCCTTATCAGGGCTAAAAAATAGATCATGAATATACCTGACTTTATCCAGAGTGTACATTGCTGTCCATTATAGTCCCCAGTCTTACTCAGTACTATAACATGTGTTTTTGTGGCCCATTCCTGCAATGGGGTTGATTTTCTAAAGGCAAATAGACTGTGTACTTTGTAAGTGCAGTGGCTCCAGAGCTTAGTAAACGAGCAAAAGCTCTGCTGACTTCCATCATCCAATTATGTGCAAGCAATTTTTTTTTTTTACCTTGCATGTGATTGGATATTCTTTACAAAGTGAAGATTTACCTAATTTACTAAGCTCTGGAGCAAATGCACTTGCACAGTACTGGGACAGGTTTGTCCTGCACCCACCCACTGGTTGCCAGCCACTTATCTGGAGCATGTGGTGAGTGCCCCCCATATCACTGCACCCAGGGCGGCTGCCCCTCCTGCCCACCCCTTGTCCCAGCCCTGCCCTTGCAGAGTACACAGTTTCTTTTGAAAGGGAAACTCATACAAATGAGCGCAGAGAGGCCGATGCAGGTGGAAACATGTGAACAGTTAATCATGAGCTCACCACTGCTGCCTTGTTATACATTTGTATGATTTGTTCTCTTCATCATGCAAATGATTAACAAGGCAGCAGTGGTGAGCTCATAATTAACTGTTCACATGTTTCCATCTGGATGGACCTCTCTGCTCTCATTTATATGAGTTTATATTTGCTACTTTGTCTCACCCAATAAAGATGCACCTTTATTAAGGTGCTTGACTGAGAGCATTTTCCTATTTTTTTTTCCGTTTTTCTACACAGTTTCTTTGCCTGTAGGAAATCAACCCCTTCTTACTCCAGCCCCAGTCTCTGACACCTCCAGGAGGTACAGGGGACATTACTGGACCTTCTGGAAGAGGTGGAAGCTTGAAATCCTGCAAGAACCCACTCCAGACCATTGTAAATAGTGGGAGGCACTGTGATGTTACCCATGCCTCCTGGAACTGTAGAAGACCCGGCCAAAGGTAAGTTTTTTTTTTATTTAGAGTGGAATTTTGCATTCAAGTACAAGTTTGATCAGTCTGTGACCAGTCTTTAATCAGATTTTGGTCACTCCTTGAACTTTGAGGCAGAGGGCTTGTCCCTTGAAACGTGTAGCATCAATTGAAGGTTACCACAAGGATCCTTCATTGTCAATCAAGAGTAGGGATCTCCAGGCTCTCTAAACCAGGGTTTCTCAACCAAGGTTTTTATAAATAAACAAAACCAACTTGCCTAAAAAAAGTTCTTACTCCAGCCCTGGTCTCTGACACTTCCAGGAGGTACAGGTGACATTATTGGACCTTCTAGAAGAGGTGGAAGCTTGAAATCCTTCAAGGACCCGCTCCAGTCCATTGTAAGATCCCACCAGAGCTGCCAGCTCTGGTGGGAGACACCATGATGTTACCCACGCCTCCTGGAACCTGGGCCCGGCCAAAGGCAAGTTCTTCTTTTATTTATTATAATTTTTTTTCACATAGAGTGGAATTTTGCTTTCAAGTACAAGTTTGATCAGTCTGTGACCAGTCTTTAATTAGATTTTGGTCATTCCTTGAGATCTGAAGTGGAGAGCTTGTCCCTTGAAACACATTAGCATCAATTGTGGGTTGCCAGAAGGGTCCTTCATTGACAATCAAGATTAGGGATCTCCAGGCTCTCTAAACCAGGGTTTCTCAACCATGGAATCCTTGAGTTCCTTCAGAGGTTGCTAGGGATTCCTTGAGCAATGAGCAATTTCTGCCGCTGAGGTAAGTTCCCACTGATACCAATGATTTTTTTAGCTATCTGTAAGGGGGTAATTCCTCCCTATGACCACAAGTGTAAGGAGCATCACACTAATGTATCATATAGTAATTGTTGGCAGTTGTTCCCTGAGACTGGAAAGTTTTTGTTTTTTTTGGGGTTTTTTTTTTTGGGGGGGGGGCAGGGGTGAATGGTTTGTTTACAAATCTCTTTTTAAAGCCATTTGGGGAGATTTATTAAAACTGGAGCATGCGAAATCTGTTGCAGCTCTGTATAGAAACCAACCAACTTCAAGGTTTTATCGTAAAAGCTTAATTCAACCAGTTGAAGTTAGTAGCTGATTGGCTCCCATGCACAGCTGCACCAGGTTCTGAGTGCTCCCATTTTAGTAAATCCCCCCACAATGTTGGTCACTTTGATAGCGCTCCAATTGCTTAGCACATTTATGAAGCACATCACTACATGAATGAGCAGTTAAGTCATACCATTGCCTTATAAATTAGTTTCTGTACCTGCACTATGTGAATTAATTTTTTCTTTTTATATGTGTAAATCATTTTGTAGTGAGCGGTGAAGATGCTTCAGAGTCAACAATGTTCGACCATGATTTACAAGGTAGGGGAATTGGCCAATCAGACCATCTCAAACTTTACTAAACAGGTGCAGAACAGGACCGACAAGGCCAACAGGGTCAAAAATGGCAAAAGGTGTGCATATAGTATAGAATAAGGTTAAACTGATTATGAACCCATATGGAAGAAAAATACATTTAAAATATATTTTAAAAATATTCTTCCCAAATATATTGACATATATTTGAAATGCTACAATTTTGGCCATATTCAATATATTTCAAAATATATTGAATGGTAGCATAGACAAGCAGCTGGAAAAGTCCCAGGGCTGATACCACAGCAAGCGGCTGGCGAGATCTTGGGTTGGTAGCACAGACAAGCAGCTGGAAGAGTCCCAGGGCTGGTACCACAACAGGCAGCTGGAGAGATCTTGGGCTGGAATCACAGGTAATCAGCTGGAAGAGTCCCAGGGCTGGTACCACAGACAAGCGGCTGGCGAGATCTTGGGCTGGTAGCACAGACAAGCAGCTGGGAGAGTCCCAGGGCTAGTAGCACAGACAAGAGGCTGGCGAGATCTTGA